GGGGGGGGACAGTGGTTGCACTGAAGGGAGGATGGGGCGATGCGGGGGAACCGGGCGGGGGGCGGAATTATGGGGCTGAGGGGAACGAGGCTGGAATAGAAGGAAGATGTGGGGGGCACTGCGACGGAAAGGGGGGATGTGGGGAGACTGGCTGGGGAAGGGAGAGAGAGAGGCAGGGAGAAGGCAGAGGGGTGGAGAGAGATACAAAGGCAGCTCTTCCGGCCCATGGGACACGAGATGTTGAGGGGCTGCCCTGCCCAGCAGGCAGTGGGGATTTTTTTTCCTCCTGAAACTGTTCAAACAAGGGGACTAACCCCTCAGGGCTCAGAAGCTACAAGGCAAATTCTCACACACAGAGACACACACACAAACCCCTCTCCCTCTCATATTTTAAGGCAAACCCATGATTTGGGGATCTGTCTCCTGAGTGTTTGGGGCTGCCCAGGGCCCTGTTCTGAATCCTGCCCGAAAATCAGATCTCAGCCACACCGGAGTCAGACCGGAGTCACTGCCGGCTCTGACAGGGGGTGTGTGCGAATGGGCTAATGGGATCAGCCTCTGCTTGCCTGTCTTGGGGGCTGCAGGGGCAGGACACGGAGGCTCAGAGGGCCACCAGAGGGCTCCGGTTAATGGCTAAGGGAGAGGACGAGGCGGGTGTGTGACTCTCCCTGCTCATGTTATTACAGCCCTGGAGTGCAGCTCCCCGGATCAAAAGCTCCTGCCTCCTCCATTTTGAGCTGGGGGCCCAGACTGAGACGCTGTTTCTTGTTCAGCGGAGTCTGAGCCTGGGAGAGACCTTCATCAAAGCCCCTTCGCTGCCCAGCCCAGGTGGGAACTTTCTTGGTGGCTGGAATCAGCCCCAGGGGCAGCCTGGGGCTCTGCTGACACCAGCCCCTGAGCCGCAGCCTACAGGTGATGGGGAGACCTGGGGGACAGGGCTGGGGCTGGGCAGGAAAGTGACTCTGCACAAAGGGCCCCTTTCCGGGACCTGCTGGTGAGTTTGTACCGGAGGGGGAGGCTTCCCCTGGGCCTGCGGCTCCCAGATCTGTTGCCCCTCACACAACCAAGTTCAAACTGATCAGTCTACTGAAGAGCAAATGCCCATGTAACTGGGGCAGAATCAGTTCTCCCAGACAGAGGGAAGGGGAGAAAGGGAAGGTGATAGAAACAGAGAGTGACCAGACTGGAAGGGGCAGCAGGAGCAGTAAGCGGGAAGGGAGGTTCCCAGTTCCCAGACCTGCCCCGATCCATTCCCCTGGACAGACTGACTCTCTTGGGAACAAGAGGAGGAGCTGAGAGAGGAAAGCCAGGTGCTGTCTCTCTTGAATCACTGGGCTGCTCGGAAGGTGGGGGGACGTGCTGCCTTTGGGGACAGTCTCAGGGGGAATCCCCCAAAGCGGCTCCTTTGATTCTGCTCTTTTTCTAGCATTCAGCTCAGGGATGCTCTAACTGGGACAGTTTAAAAGTGCCCCAGGGGGGTTCAGTTCTGCTGGGAGGGGCCTGGCCTGGGTGGTAATAAACTAACTGGGTTTCTTCCCAGCATGGCAGAGTCCAGAGCATCTGTCTGCAGGGAGATACTCCTGAGGGCATTCTGCACCAAAAAAATAAACATTTTGTGCACAGTATTTTAAAATTCTGCAATTTTTTTGTCAAATAAATGTGGAGGCTCCAGAATGGGCATTAGGGAGCACAGGCCACGGGCTGCACAGAGGTGGGAGATTACAGTGCAGCTCCCCCCTTCCAGGACACGGACTCAGTGGTGAGGCTGCACCCAACCCTGACACAGCGCAAGGACCAGGCCTGCCCCAGAAACACCCCAGAGCCCTGCCCCCAGTGCCAGGTGCACCAGGTGTGGGCAGGCAGGCTCAGCAAGGCAGGATCCCAGTGTGGAGGGGCTTGGTGTGGGGGGAATCCAGGTGTGGGTTGAGAGGGTCCTGTGTGGAGCAATCTGGATGGCTCAGTGGGTGATCCATGTGAGGGGGGATCTGGATGCACAAGGGCTTGTTGCAGGGTTCTGGGTGGAACGGTAATGGGACTCTGCGGGGGCGGTCCAGGTGAAGGTGGTTGGGGCTCAACAGGGTGAGGTCAGAGTGTGGGTGGGGGATAGATCTCAGCCCGGGGGTCTGGGAGTTGGAGGCTTAATGGGGGCATCCAGATGCTGGGGAGTGGGGCTCAGTGGGGTTGCGATCCAGGTGCATCTAGTTGGGGCTCAGTAGGGTGGGGATCCGGGTGCAGGTGGCTCCTTGGGGTGGTCAAGGTGCAGGAGGAGTGGGGCTTGTCGGGGGGCATTGGGTGCAGAGGGGGGTGAGGCTCAGTGGAAGAGTCTGGGTGTGAGGGGGTCTGGATGCACGGGGGTTGGGCGGATGGGGGAGAAGCTCCCTGTATAGTCATCCATCCCCCTGCAGCTGAGGAGCAATGGGTGCAGGAAGCGTGGGTGGGAGGGTGAGTTTGCAGAGCTTCCTATACCAGGGGAGAAATCGGGTGTGTCTGACATGCCCTGGGTGCTGTGCCGGGGAATAGGAAGTCCCATCTTCCGCAGCCCAGCCGGGACTAGCAGCTGAGCCCAGTGCAGGGTAGGAACCACCCTATCCGCCCCACAGTGATTTACCTCTCTGCCAGCTGCCCTGCGCACCAGGAACATACTGCTGGGGAGGGTCGCATGACCGCTTTTGTGGCTTCCCCATCAGGAAGTAATTTTTGTGCGGGGAAACAAAGAAATCTGCGTGGGACATAAATTCTGTGCATGCACAGTAGCGCATAATTCCCCCAGGAGTAAGGGAGAGAGCCTGGGGGGAATTGGGGTGTGAAATGGACTCAAGCCCTTTCTATAACCTCCCCAATCTCCCCTCTCACCCTGATAGGCTGGAGAATCACATCCAGGTTTTGGTCCAGATCTGCCTGTATTCCCACGGGAGAGGGAAGGGAAATGGCTGTGTTGGAGCCAGATCAGGTAGGGGATTTTCAGGGAGCTGAAGGGAGGGTTGTTGTGGAAGGGGAGGGGCAGGAAACACACAGCGTGAGGCAGGGAGGGAGGGGACAGGGTTTGATAAACCCACTGGGAGAGGTTCAACCTGGGCCTGATTTTCCAAACAGGCCCGTTGGGGGGTTGAGCAGGGCTGGGAAAACTGACCAGAGTCCCAGTGCTTGAGCTTGAACCCATTAGCCAGAGGCTACTGTGAAATACAAAGGGAAGCTGTCAGGATTCCTGTCCCCAGCTCAGAGCTCTGCTTCCCATATCAACTGCGGGTTAGCAGGTGGATGGTAAATGAGTAGACCCTGCCCTCCTCCATCTGCTGGGAGGGACAAGGAGCTCTCAGTTTCTTCCCACCCCCTGAAGCCACCTGGTTGCTCTGAGCAGGGTGGGGTGGGATTCTGCTACTGTTGTCCTCCCAGAGCTTCTGAGATGTTTATTTTTTCTTCTTCCTTTCCTGTCTGACTAGAGGGATTGTGGCTGGGGGACTCTTGTTGTTTCAGATGCCGGTGACCTTTGAGGAGGTGGCTGTGTATTTCACCCAGGGGCAGGGGGCTCTGCTGGACCCCGCTCAGAGAACCCTCTACAGGGATGTCATGCGGGAGAATTACAAAACTGTGACCTCACTGGGTAAGGGATTCCTGTGCCCTCAGTTATTAGAAAGTTTTGGGACTGCATTTCTGACTCTGGTCAGGTTCTTCCCTGGTCAGTTAGATTGAAGGAGAATGGGTTCCATAATCCACAGCTGCCGTGTGAGAGAAACTTGCATCTTCAAACCCCCTGCAGTGGGACCAGGGTGCCAAAACCTAATGGATGTGCTAAACCATCCCCACCCACCCCCCAGCTTTCAAGGGGATAGACGCTGTGTATTATCCTGTCTGTGTTGTTTCTCGGTTGCTCACAGAATTCCTGGTCACCTCCCTCCTTGGAAATAACACCAGCCATGGGGAGGGCTCTGAGCTTTGCAGGGATTTAACTCCAGAGCTGTGTGTGCATCAGCAAGGCCCCCAAAGTGCACAGATCCTGGGAACTGCTAGTGAGGGCGTAACAATTCTCCCCACCTCCCCAGACATCTGCCTCTCCCAAGGGGGCTCAGCTATGTTCCCATCTCCATGGATTCCAAATTCTCTCAGCACAGCACGGGAACAGGTTCAATTCACAGAATGCCCTTTGTGACACACACTCCCGCAATACTCCATGCACCCTGATCTAGGCTGATTTCACCCCCTGCGCAGGATTTCCCATTCCCAAACCTGACCTGATCGCCCGGCTGGAGCGAGGAGAAGAGCCATGGATCTCCGAACTCCAGGCCTGTGAGGAAAGAGAGATACCAAGAGGCACCCGCACAGGTGAGGACTCAGTGAAACTGACAGAGAAACAATCTGTCGAGTAAAGGAAAAAGTTGAGAAACCCCAAAATGTGCGATGAGCGAGCGCCCTTAGTTCTGCCTCGTCTCAGTCAGGACAGGACTCTAGTCGGCAGAAATCACTCACGGCTTTCCACCCGTCCTGTTAGCTGCAGGAGTTTCCTTCCCAATTTTCCTTCCCTGTGAGTGTTCGGGTGGGAAGTGGAGGCAGAATCAAATTGCTCAGTCTTCACAGCGTTAGTGTGTTGGGTTTTCCCTTTGAGCTATTCC